GATTTGGTAACTGATACTTCGTTGACAAAGTATGCGTAATATGTCAGAGGCAACAGTCAACTTACCCCAAGCTTTACAAGCTTTTTTTTACAAGTGGATATATCCAGTCATCAAACGGCTATGATGTTTACCACAAGAAGGGATGAAAAACAGATAAATGAGGACAAAATACAAATCCGCCATTATATTGCTCCAAAACAACTCTTGGAAGAGGTAGCCATCGAGAGTCTAGCCAGAAGATGATTGCTGTTGGCTACTGATATCATTTGGGCTAATCCCTTGTATTATTTGCCTCTCATAAGGATCAAATACTGCTCATTTCTAAAACTCGTCCAATTACTAAGCCTCGGTTTGACTCAGCGTTATTGAGGGAAACTCTAGCTTTTCTGTTAACGCTATATCATGGCGTAGTCTGCCAATACTACTTGGCAGTTTGCCAACCAGCGCCACACAGCATTACACGGTGGTTGGATGACAAGGCTGGGAGGTGGTGAGTAGAGGGGCTGGACGTGATTGGGGGTGGTGGTTAGCGGATGCCCAGATACAACCCCAGGGATGGGAGTTGAGTAGAGAACAGAGAAAGGGAACAAGAGCACCGGCCAGGAGTTCGGGACAAGAACTGCAGATAGCAGTAAAGAGGAAAAGACAGAACAAAAAATACAAAGGAAAGTAAATTAAAGCAAACCTGAGTCTATGAATAAAAGAAAAAAAGCAAAAGAAAAAACCTGAAATCATGAATAAAAGCAAAAAAAAACTACGCCCATGCGAGCGGGACTGTCTTACAAAAACTTTTCATCAGTAGAAGGTTTTCCTATTTATGAAGCTGATGTTTAGGTAAAGCTGAGCACGAATAAATTCATTGCAGGATACTTGGCAAAGTGCCAAGCTGTGTCGGTAAGCGACATTGCGCAGTAGTGTTAGCAGAGAAGATACAGCGTCTTGCAGTAGCGACCGAACCGAGTCTAGCCTATTTATAGTAATTGTTCAACTATTGAAGGATGGCAACTTGTAACTTGAAACGCGCCAAGGGAAAAGCACCGAGAATTTCGGTTTAAAAAACTATAAAAAGAGGAAAAAAAGTCAACAGACTCACCGCATGCCATTGTTGAGTTCGTCCTGAGCTTGATAACTAATACTGAGAGACTGGAGCTGGGCCAGCTGATGGCTGTACTCCTTGAGCAGATTTGTCATCGCACAACCACTCACATCCGTTATCAGACGTAATTCGCGCAAATTTACACATCGTTGACAGATACTGGAAAAAAAACCGGCAAAATTTGCTCCAATTTTCGCCAGTGACAAGTTATTTTAAGCAATTTTCGTTTCGCTAAGGCTTCTGGCTATTTTTCGAAGTTGAGACAATCGCTGCAGCTCAATTACCTGGTGATCAAACTGCTGAGGCAAAATTCTTTTTTTTTCACTAAAACTGGGCTGGGCGGCTAAATTCCCTAAAATTTAATTTCAGCATAAAGTTTAGGATCAACTCCGACTTATGCACGGCTTAGTTAGAATCATCCAGTACCGGTTCAGCCCCTACTTTTCCTAATTCCTTCCGCCCACAGGGCCTAAATGGCCCGTGGGGTCTTTTACTTACCTGAATAAAACGTGTCTACCGATGTTGACATGTGGGATGAAGAAGTCAATATAGCGCAAATAACGTCCGCATTTCTGTAGGAATCCACAAACATGATGATCATCGATGGGTCGAATTTGGAATGAGTTCGTCACCGTGGACGGGATATCGGCGAATGTGATGTTCTGCCACGAGATATTTAGCAGCCGTTTCCAGGTCATCGAAACACGCTCCAATCGAACACGGCATCTGAAAAATCGCAAAAAAAAAAAAAACTTATATCATTTTCAAATTTTGATAATCAACATTTAATCCTACCCGCCACCATTCTCTATCCAATTCTATTCTTCCAGCCATGAACCGTGTGGAATTTAGCTCTGATGACATTCCCTTGGTTTTTACAGTCCTCTACTACACATGTTATTCCTCGGGAAAATGGATAACTCAGGAACCAAGAAAGCTGGGAGGCTGGAATTTTCAGGAAATACTGCTAACACATGTTCAGCTTAAAATTATCAAATTCAGCTCCCGAGCATACGTGGTTCTCACGTGTGACCTCGTGACAGGTTTACCACCCCACATCTACCAAAACCCCTGACATCCCTGCTTGGAATGACTAATTTTGGCCGAGCTTCCAAGGCCTTTTCTATCCTTTCTATTTAGCTTAAGGTAAAAAATTCCTTTATATTCTCTCCGTACAAGGTGCATTCTATCAAATAGCAACCATTCATCAGGATTTCTGATACGCTTCCCATGTTCGAGGGACTTTAATAAGCCAGCAGATGGCATTTTTTGATTCCTTGACATGTGGAAGTATCACTTAACCATCGAAACGAATGAACATTTCTGGAAGGAACTGGCTGTTCCCTGTATTACCCTGGTCTTGCAGGAGAAATACGTCATTCGGTACCGCTTCCGCTTCCCAGAACCTAATATTTTGTAACAAAACATAACTATAAATTAGGGCATCCTCAGTCCGTTTTTGACAAACTGGCATCATAAAAGTTTTGGTGGGTGAAATTATCACATGAATCGTGGAAGCTCGAAGGCTGAAATTTCATGGGTATGTCCCCTTGTTCACGCGCGACCCAGAAAATTTAAATTCAGCTTTCCCCGTGCCCGCGTGTAACACGTACGGCCCCGTAAAAAGTTTTGGCGGGGGAAATTATTGTCTCGGGAATCATGAAAGCTAGAAGGCTGAAATTTTATGGGCCTGTCTCCTAGCCACGCAGCTGACTGATCGAACCAAATATCCAAAATTAGTGTAATGACCTTAATTATAAGCTGGTTTTAGGACAAGAATAGCTTAAATATAAACAAGTAAGCTTTCTTTTTGTAAAAAAAAAATGCGCAAAGTTAAAATAGCTAATCAAAATCTGCCGTAAGATTGCAGAGATATGCTGTTTTTCAGAAAATCACTGGACTAAGAAAACGAAAACCGTACAAAAGGAGACTGACAGAAAAGAACAAACTAACTTTAAGGGCAGATATGAAAGAATTTTCTTCTGCACATTTAATGGTAGCTCGGAGAAGGGAAAATAATCATCTGATAGTTCGAAATCTGAATTTTCTTTCGGTGATGAACTTAGAGATTGCAACGAAGACGTCGATGGAATCGATCGAAGATCGGCATTCTGAAAATACATCACAACTAAAACTCAACAGAACTGGGCCCTCAATTTACTTCGATGCAAGCACATGCAAGCACACACACGCGCACACACATACACATATGTATATATATATATACATATATATACATATATATATACATGTATATGTATGCTGCTAATTAACCGCGAAACGACTTTTTCCCGCCAAAACTTTCACCGGGCAAACGGGAAGGCTGAAATTAAAATATGTGGTGTCGCACATAAGCAGGGATATTACCATAAAATTTCAGCTTCCCAGCTTTTGTGGTTCCCGAGATAATAATTTTTCCCACCAAAACTTTCAAGGCGTCGCGCGAAGTGCCAAAGCGTAAGAGAAGGATGAAATTAAAGTTGCGGTATTGTACTTGGACAGGAAGCAACACCGCATAATTTCAGCTTCCTAGCTTTTGTGGCTCAAAAATTTCCCGCCAAAATTTTCACGGAAGATGCTCGGGAAGGCTGAATTTAATGTTGCGAGGTCATATCTGGGCAAGGATCATTACCTTAAAAGTTCAGCTCCTCAGCTTTCAGAGTTCCCGAGATAATAATTTTCCCCCCAAAACTTTCGCGGGGTCGTACGTGGTACCCGGGGCAGGAAAAGGCTGAAATTAAATATACCAGCTAAAACGTGGGCGAGGGACATTCCCCTAAATTTTCAGCTTTCTAGCTTTTGTGGTTTCTGAGTTGAAAGTTACGGACAAGTTGCTGCGGGCACACACACACACACACACGCACACACACACACACATAACCCCGTGACAATACGCGTTTTGTAATGCTGTTACGCAGCACAAGAAGTCGAGGAGTCACATACGGGAGGAAATGAGAACTTAAAAAATTTTGTACCCAATAACGTTGAAAAAAAAAAAAAAAAAAAAAAAAAAAAAAAAA